CCTGCTGAAACAGTCATGTAGTGATTTATACCTCTGGCTGGAGGTATGGTATAATTAAGGTCAAAATTCTTAGACTTTGGAAGTGAACATGTGCATCTGTCCTTTCTTGCCTCTTTTGCCTCATGGTATTAGATTAATGAAGGGGAAATGGATACTGTGACAATTACTGAATGGGAGAACATCTTGTGCTGGATGTATTTAAGAAATAGACTAACTCAAAGTTTTGGGTCAAAGCAGAGCAGAGATTTCATGGTGAAGGTCCAGTGCAGGGCAGGCCGGATGAACCCCAGTGCTTTCTCAAAAGAGAACCCCTGGCAAACAAGCTTTCAAAGTAGTTTCTGTTTTGTCAAACACTGCTAAAAGTTTCTGGCAGACGTTGGAGATACAAGCTGGAGCATGTTTCTTTGTTCCTGCAAGCCTTTTTGCTCCTTTGTATTCAATTACTTATTTTTATTTATTTAATTACTGATTTTGTTTGTTCAATTACATGCTTTTGTTTCCAGAAGTCTTTAGCAGTGTCAACTTTGTTCTTGCTAAACTTTTTTTTTTTTTAACAGTCAAGCTTGCTGCTGCCTCCATGAGCATCCTTCATTTCAGGGATCTCCTTTGAATGTCTTTTGAAGCCCAAACTGTGTATATGGGTCCTGTGTTTTTTGATGGAAGTCTTTTCTTGTATTCCTTGCAAGTGTAATTTTTATGTGGATAAGAAATGTAGCCATATGCTTTTCTGGAGCACCTTATTAGGTATGTCTATTGCTGCTTCACCATAGCACAGAAGCCTTAGTTGTGCTCCTGTTCAGTGTTCAACCAGGTGGTGGCGTAAAAGTGGCAGGAATATTTTTTGCAGGCATTCAGAGGAGACAAGGCTCTCCTTTGTATAAACCTTTCACCAATTTATATTTTTTCAACGGAAAAAAACTAATTTTGTAGGAACTTCAAGAAATTGCTAGAGGTGGATGTTGCTTGCTTGTCTTTTACTTTTGCCTTTTTCTATTGCAGATAACTAGTAGAGAGGAATGCAAAACAAACTTTGCCACTACCTCCCAAAGTCTGTGAAGCTGAGGAAAGTGAGGACGGTGCTGGATAGGAAAAAAAAAAAAGGTGAAACAGCACAAACAAAATGCAAGCAAAAATTTATTGGCCGTTTGTAGTGGGTTAAGCCTGACTGAGCAAGAGATGCCCACCAAGCCAACTCCCCTTTCCTCTCCCTCCTCCCCAGAGCAAATGGGGGGAAGAAAAATAAGCTGAAGACAAACCCCTTGTAGGTAAAAACAAAGGCAGATTAATTAGAAACCAAAGGCAAGAATGCCACGCGTGGTAGCAAAGAGAAAACAAACCCAAAAGATTTATTCTCTACTTCCCATCAGCAGGGAATGTTTGGCCCCTTCCTGGGAAGCAGGGCTCCAAAATGTGTAGTGGTTGCTCCAGAGGACCAAGGAGTAGCTCCCCCCTCCCCTCCTCCTTTGTACTAGTGTTATAGTTGAGCAGATGTCATATGGTATGGAAAATCCCTTTGTTCAGTTTGGGTCAGCTGTCCTGGTTATGTTCCCCCAAGCTCCTGCCCTCCCTAACCCACTGCAGGGGGAATGTTAGAGAGAGCCTTGGTGCTGTACGAGCACTGCTCAGTGGTAGGCACAACACGGGTGTTGTCAACTCCTGTCTCTCCCAGCACCTTCTAACTTGCAGCACAAAAGCCCTGCACCATGAGGGTTGCCATGGGAAAATCAGCTCAGCTAGACCTGATACACAGTTGATTACTTTGCACAAATCTAATCATAAATCTGATAACCAGGAAGATGCAGCATGTGTATTTTTGTTGTGCAGCCCCAGTTTGTCCCTTCATTGGTGCAACAGCAAAGGTTGGTCTTACTCTGCACTCCACAGCAGGTTTCCCATGTCAAAATATGCTGGTTTGTGTGTTTTCAGCACTAAGCAAAGATACATTTCTTTCTTTCTTATCTATTATTGACTTGGAGGAATTCCTCTAAGCACAGGGAAAAGTGGAGGTGCCATCTAGAGGGACCTGGACAAGCTTGAAAAGCGAGTCCATGTGAACCACATGAGGTCCAGCAAGGCCAAGTTCAAAGTCCTGCACCTGGGTCAGGGCAATCCCTAGTATCACTACTGGATGGAGGATGCTAGGACTGGGAGTAGCCCATCAGAGAAGGACGTTGGGGGTCCTGGTTGATGAAAAGCTGGACATAAGCTGGCAATGTGCACTCACAGCACTAGCTTTATCCTGGGCTGCATAACAAGAAGTGTGGCCAGCATGTTGAGGGAGGTGATTCTTCCCCTCTACTCTGTTCTGGTGAGATCACACGTGCAGTGTTGTGTCCACCTCTGCAGTCCTCACTGCAGGAAAGACATGGACCAGTTGGAGCAGGTCCAGAGGAGGCTCACAAAAATGATCAGGGGGATGGAGCACTTTTCCTATGAGAACAAGCTGAGAGAGTTGGAGTTTTTCAGCCTGGAGAAGAGAAGGTTCCAGGCAGACCTTATTGTGGCCTTTCAGTACTTAAAGATGGCCTATAAGAAAGACGGGGACAGTCTTTTTACCAGGGTGTGTTGCAATAGGACAAGGGGTAATGGCTTTAAATTAAAAGAGAGATAATTTAGACTAGATATAAGGAAGAAGTTTTTTGTGATAAGGGTAGAGAAACACTGGCACACGTTGCCCAGAGAGCTGATAGATGCTTCGTCCCCGGAAATAGTCAAGTTCAGGCTGTATGTGACTCTGAGAAACCTGATCTAGCTGAAGATGTCCCTGTTTATTGCAGGAGAAGTTTGACTAGATGACCTTTAAAGGTCAGTTCCAACCCAAACTATTCTATGATTCTGTATTAGCTTTAGGAAGGCCATGCCTTTGAACCTGAGCTGCTGAAGCTTCCATGTCTTCTCTCCATCGGTGTGCCGCCACAGGACACGTATTTGGCAATTAGACAAAACTGAGTGGGATATTTGGAGTGGCTGTGCAGGGGATGGTGAATGAGAAGGGGAATGGTGAGGATGGAGATGAGACTGCGATCAGTATTTAATCACTGAAGACAAAGGGGTGTAGTTTAACCTTGGTTCTTATACTGTAAATGAAGTTCATCCCTGCCCTGTTTGCTCACAGCTCTGATGCATCACATGGATGGTGTGAGGGCTTTCTAGTGGAGCATCATCTAGTCTGCAGCGGGACTTGGGCTGTTTTTAATATACATGCAGAAATGGAAAATTCCCTTTGGGAAGATGGAGAAGGCTACTCTGTGTGAGGAAGGACGGAAAGGTAGAATACAGATGTGATGAAGGCGTTATGATGACCCATCAGTGTCTCCCAGCAGCTGCAAGGAGGCAGCTCAGCGTTATGGCACTTGTGTGTTGCCATGCCAGAGCTCATCAACAAAATGCAGGATGACAACTCATACAGATCATCCCTGAGACAAATGAGCTCTTTGCAGGGGTAGATGCAGAGCTGCATTAGCTGAGGCTCAGTACTGCAAGGAGCAGCTGAGCAATAAAATGTTTGACTTGGTGACATATTCACCCACTCCTCCAACGCTGTCTTATAGTCTAACAGCGAAGCACCTTATGTGCCATCTATCGGACGCTACCACATGTTCAGAGAAGCTGATGGACCAAGCCTTTTATAAGGACTCCAGATGTGCTGAAACACATGGAATTTATTCCTGCTTCATCAGTACTCAAAATATCCCCAGTGCAGGCTGAGCACAGGAAGGCAGCTCTTCCCCAAGAGATCACAAATGACTGTGGGCAGTTGGGAAATGGGGAGGACAGAGACTGGTGGGGCCATGCTTCCTGTCCCCACGTCACCCAGCACAAGCCCCAGCCCTGAACTTGCTAATGTAAGCTTCTCCTCTGCATGTGAACATTTCAGATTTGAGCATTTCCTGTGAATGAAAGCATTTATTCCTTTATAACCAAATCCTTCTATTTCCATATAAAACCCACCTGTAATGAAAACCATTGGTCACAAACAAATAGCAAGAAAATAAATAAATATATGTATTTAAACATTGTCAAAATATGGCCAAAGAGATGTCCTATCTCCTCCCAAAATACCACATGTGGTAGACAAGTGCCAACACGATGACCTTGCTAGAGAGACCAGGGGGCCTGGGAGCCAGGCTCGTACTCGCCAGCCTGCACTTGTCTTCGCTTGCCAGCTCGGGTGGCACGGCGCAGTCCATCAGGTCCCCTGGGTGAAGGCCATGGAGTGCCGTCGTGTTGTTAGGGCCCAGGAAGGCACAGTGCAGCCCTTCCATCACTCCCCTCTGCGTCGTGGTCCACCGCCAGAACCAAAGCATCTTGCAGTCGCATTTCCAGGGGTTGTGAGATAAAAACACATACTTCAGTTTGGGCAGTTCAGCAAACAAGCGGATGGGGAGGGAGCTGAGGTTGTTCTTGCTGAGGTGAAGGAAGTGCAGCTTGTTTAAGTGCAAGAAAGCAGAGTCTGAGATCAAGGAGATTTGGTTGTTGTTCAGGTACAAGTTTCTCAAGTTCGGCAGGTGTCTGAAGGCGCAGTCGACAGCAGTGATTCTGTTGGCTTCCAGATGCATGGTCTTGAGCTGGATCAACCCATCGAAAAGCTGATTAGGCAAATTAGCGATGAAGTTGTGTCCTAAATTTAACATGCCCAATCTGAGAAGCTTTGTAAAAGCGCCATTTTGAATGATCCATATCCGATTCTTCCTGAGATTCAGATCGTACAGGGTTTCCAGGTCCTTCAGGGAGTCTTTGCCAATGGCTTCTATGTGGTTACCCTCCAGGGACAGCTTTGTGAGGCTGGAGAGGTTCCTAAAGGCTTGTGGGACATACCGCATATTGTTGGAGGCTAAATCGAGTCTTTCTAAAGAAGGCAGATGTGAAAATAGGAGTGGGTGGATTTCAAATATATTGCAATGGGACAAATCCAGGCTGACGAGGTTTAATAATCCTCTGAAAGTATTTGCATGCAGGTAGGTGA